TCACAGAGCCAGCTGGGTGACCTTGGGCCAGTCATCTCTCTCAGCCCTAGGAAGCAGGCAGTAGCAAACCACTTCTGAAAACTCTGCCAAAAAACCTGCAGGGACTAGTCCAGGCAGTCACCCGGAGTCAAGACTGACTCGAAGGCACCCAAAAAAAAAACCCCACACCACATCAAAACAAGTGTACATTAATTTACTGCTCAACTTTTCTTAAGATGTCTCTTTATTGGAAGCCACTTGGCCAGAGATTTATAGACATATGCACACTACACAGGATTCTAAATGTGCCTTTAAAATATGTGTCTTCCAGATTGCTTCTTCCAATGTTGGATTGTTTGTTTTATTTATAAAACGGTTCGAGATCTCTGATGTATCATAAAAGGTGACCTATAAGCTTTCTAAATAATTAGGAAAAAAAAAAAAGCAATCAGGAAGTCTGTTGGGAAGCTTATGTTCTAGGAAAAACAGCCTCCCCCCACTCACCCACCCCCACCTTCAGCTTAAAATTATTACATGGACTGTTGAGTTCAATTCCATTCTTGCTTCTCTGAACTGGTCCTTGATTCATCTCTTCAAAACTGATCTTGAAGCCCCTGGCCCCAACTGAGCCATCTGTTCTGAAACGCACTGTCAAATAGCTGCTGCTCGAAAACAGCTGAAGGTCCCTTTTGTGGCCACACAGTGTTCCTGCAAACCCCAAGACAAAGAAGACTGCCACGCCAAAGGGTTTCAATTTACCATATGGTTGGGGAAGAGCCAGAGAATGTAGGGTGAATTGTTGCTGCCTATATTAACCATGTATCTAGCCTCCCCTCTATGATTTATACAACTATTTATTTTCAAGAAGATTTATTTTCTGCCTTTCCTGCAGGATCTCCAGATGGCATATACAGTGCTTATCTTCTAAGTATTTAAGTACTGCTAAGCAACCTTATGAGATAGATTGGGCTAAGAGACAGTGACTGCTCAAAGTCCCCCAATAAGCTGCCAGGACAAAGAGTGGACTTGACCTTGGACTTTTTATCAGTCAGACTCTCAGCCACTGCACCAGACTGAGAGCACTTCCACATGATCAGTGTTACCGCCCCCAAAATGCTCATCAGAGCAATTCCTACTCCTGCCATGATTGTCCTGACTACACCATTATAACCTGCATTTCCTCTGCTTGTCCTTGTCTCACTGCATTGGTCACATTGGAGAAAACAAAAGGCAGTTAGTCTGACTGAGCCTTGCCCCATAGCCTGGAACAAGGATGTCATGATACACTGGGACTTTGTGGCCAAGGGAAGATCTACAGATTTAGGAGATGGGACTTGCTGGAAGTTCTTATAAATGAACAAGCAGCCTACCACCCAGATCCATGGAGTTCAAGTACCTCAAATCACAAAGCAGACATCTTGCACTACACGTTCTGAGTAGCTGAGCTGGAAGAAAATTGCTTGAACTGCTCATCAAGGACCTTAGTATGGGAATCCAAAGGTGCAGTGCCAAAGTCATGTGAAAGTATCCTCTCTCTCTGAGACCACAATTGTCTAAACCAAACGATCAGATTTTCAATGAGAAATGGCTAAAATGCATAAATATGCATAGAGGGAAAGGCAGTAGTTAATAGCCTACAGCTTCATTCAGAAAATCTCTGATGCATTTCTAAGCCTAATAAAACAAAAAATACAATTTCTTTGCTGCTTGTAGACTTGCCAACCATCTATGCTTAATCATCAATTTGGTAATTCCAGTCCACAGTGAGGGAAGGCAGCTATATTTGGGGCCATCAACTAAAAGATGAAAGACAATGCACCAAGCAATTGTGAACGTTGATCTGGTCCATCATAAAAGCTCAGGGAGTCCTAAATGTCATCTTTAGCGTCCTCGATAACAAAATCTCTTAACATACTTTTCAGTTTGCTTCCTGAAGCAGAATAGATTGTCCAAGTGCAGCTTAATAAATTGGGATAAATGTTTGGATAATTTGGAGAAACTATTTCTGTGACCCCAACTGGGACCAAATCCAAGATTGGACATCCTTAAAGAAAGGAGAAACAACACTTCTTATATTGCTAGAATTTTTATTTTTCCCATTACCAAATAGAAAAAACAAACAAACCAGGCTCCCTGTTATTCGGGCCAGCCTTCATTAACTTGACATCTGGCAAATGGGTTTACACTGCAGCTCACAGAGTTCCCACTCAGCAGACTGAAGCTTCTAGAATGCTGGGAGTTGTAGTCTCAATAGATTTCTAGGGAACCAGATTGCAGAAAGAGTACTTAAAACTGTATTTTTAAAAATTCCACTGATAATCAATTCATTCTTGAACCCAATCTGTTTCAGTTATAGCATGAGGTAGCATGCCCTCTCTGTTATGGCACCTGCCCTAGGGGACAGCCTCCCCATTCCTGAAATACAGACAGCCCCTGCTCTATTGGTCTTTCGCAAGGCTGTTGTGGTCCAGGAACACTAGGTTTGTGCCTGGCATACTATAGCCCAATGAATCACACAACAAGGGTGGAGATAAGAACAACTTGTTCTGCGCAGAATAGGGCACCTGGGGTTTATCCCCCAAAGCAGGTGCAACCCCAATCAAATCCCAACAGCTTTTTATACCTGTGGTCTCAAGCAAGCATCATGTGGTCTTAGAGATTAGCAAAACAAGCAGATGTCTCCCTAACAAGCATTTCTTATCAGTAAAACAAGCATTTCTGTCAGCCCAGCCCGAGAATAACAGTGAAACAGTCCAGTTGAGTCCAGTTCCTTTATTTGCTTACACCATATAAACAGAATCATGCCAGACTAAATCTATACTACTGCAACTAGTGGATATATCCTGGGAGAGTCTAGGGAGTGGCTATCCTGAACCTCTTATGCTTCCCACGCTCCCCCAGCATTGTCTCCTTTTCCTTCCTGGATTGCACCCCCTCCTTCCTGATAGCCTTTCTCTCTGTTGCTATCCACCACAATTTCTCAAACCTAGTACACGTCACATAGGTGGCAAAAAGCAAACTTAAATCAGTTGGGTCTATTATTTTTCAACCCTGCTTGTTAGGGCCTTTTTACTCAGATGCCAGACCAATATGATAGCTTTATGACTCCAATTCATCACCCTAGCTGGGTAGGTGGTCTGCAGCCCTCTCATGCCCACTACTGCACAAGCCTTTCCCAAAGGGGTGGGGAAGGTCATACAAAGTATTAAAACGGCTGAAAAGAACCAGATGGCTGAACTCTGGTTCATCGTTGTGAATATCTGACCCAGGGATTGTGGTCAAGATGTTACAATGGGGGCTCTGGCATGGGGGCTGTGGCATGGGTATGTGTGATTAATGGTTTTGTGGTTTTACTGGGCCTTAATACAGTTTATTTGGTTGGTTGAGTTAATGGAATTCTTTCTTTTTATCTTGAGCCTCTCGAATAGATTGGCAGATATAAAAATTGGATCAATTAGTAAATAAGGTATCAACAAATGTATGCACACACAGGCGCTGTCTCCCTCACACACACACACACACACACACACTTTATTACCTAATCTTGTCTCTGTGTTCAGCTCTGTAAAAATCTAATCAAGGTGAGAATAAAATGACTACCCATTCAATCTGATAAAATTATAAATTATAAAATGTATTTCTTGAATAATGTCATAAAAACAAGGGATGACATGATCATACTTGTTTTAATGCAGGGAAAGCTTTGAATCTGATAGGAACGCTCTGCAAAAAGAACCACTACTGTATCTCAAGCAATACACAGGTGTCATATCCCTCTGGAGGCATTAATATCCCCCTCCCCACAGCAACAGTGAGTTGAGCAGAGGGCAGGAGGAGGCTCTGAACAGCTTGAAAGGATATGAATATCATATAAGCATCATTAAAAACATAAAAGGTATAAACAAATTAAAACAGTGACAAGGCCTGTGTAAAATACCCTTAAACTGCAGAAGAATGGAGGTCTCCTTCAGTTCCATGGGCTATTTCTGCAATAATAAGTCCCCCATTCGGAAAAATAGAGTTTTCTATCAATATTAAATGCATGCATAGTTGGATTTGCAAAAGGAGCCCGCACAAGTCCTCAAAGTACCAGGAGGACAACCTTGGAGTAGACAGCTGGCAGAAAGCATGAGAACTAAGCCGTATCAAACAAGCAGCTTGAACTCAGCTCAAAAAGCCATTCTCATGAAGGAGAAGAAAATGGCCATTGATTCCGCCAAAGCTTCAGCTCTCTCCGTTAATGAGCCAATAAATTGCTGCCATTGGGAGCATCCTTCCAGCTGGGACTAGACCAGGACCATAATTGGTTCTGACGTATTGCAAATTTCTCCTTGGCTCCACATTTTGGCACAAATCCCAGGTCCTCCTATGGACTAAATCTAACAGAAAGAAAAGCAAACTCCTTCCTTCTCCTCCTCCATTCCTTCTCAGACCCTCTTGAGGGTGGGCAGTTTTTTTAAAAACATAAGGCATACATGCCTTACAGAACCCGTACGTGTAAATACACGTCATGTCTAACATGGCCTAGGACATTTCTGAATGCATACTTCTGAGAAGAGAGGCAGGGAAAGACTGTGCTTGCATTAAATGCGATATTTCTACTGGGAAGACATGCATAATTCAGGCTACCTAGAAAGTTATGTACATAGTTGATGGTTTGATTTCCTACCTACTCCTTCCTACTTCAGTACATTTTTCATACAGAGAAATACAGCAGTCATACCTTTTTGAATATCTCTTGCTCTATCTTGTACAGGACCTTAATGGAAAAAGAAAAAGGATGTCAGGATAAATAATTATTTTTCTGAGTTAATACAAAGATAGTTGATGGTTCAGCAAGTAGAGATATATGCATAAATAGTAAGATTTACAGCTGTCTCATTCCTTTTCGTTATTTATTTATAGTTATTAAGAATTTTTCATATAATAAAAGACAAATCAAAAGGTAAAAAGAAGAAAGAAAAGAAAGAAAAACAAAGAAATGCAAAAAAAGAAAAAGAAAACTAAAGTTAACAAATATATAAATGACTTCTGAGCTTTTTTTTCAACAGATAATTATAATCTTATTGTCCCTCCTCCTTCTTAAATATTTTGCAAATCCCCTCACCTTCTCATTTAATCTGCATCTTTCTTAATTTCAAATCCATAAATCATCAATTAATATTTCTTCTTTCAGCAAAAAGAATAAGGTTTCCAGTCTTTCAAAAAAAAAGTGTTGTTTCTTCTCTGACAACTGTCTCACTCCTGTCCTCTACTAACACACAACTCATACACATATACACACATAATGCATATACACTATCACATATTAACTAGACGTTTGAAAAATTGAGCTTAGGTGAAAAGGAGAGTCTCTCCCCCTGGCCTAAAACAGCATAAGAGCAACCTTCTTGAATCAGATCAGTCCTGTTGCTGCAGGAACCAAACATTTTCTGAGAAGTTTATGGGGCATGAGTATTAAAGTAACTATTACTAAAAACATTTAATCTATGACACTGGAGGAAGTTATATATATATATCTTTATGAGCAGTAGTTTTTAACTGTTTTATTCTCCATCAATTGATCTAATTCCTCTTTAAAACCAACCAAGTAAATATTCATACTACATCTAACAATAACAAATTCCAAGTCTAATCGTCCAGTGAATGAATGATTCCTAGTCCATCATTCAGCTTCACTGGATATTCTTTTATGGCAAAAAGAGGGCTTTCTGAATTAAAACTGAGAAATATGCCTGAGCCTCTGGTGGAAGAGTTGAATACATGGTAAATGGAGCTCACTTCTTTTTTATTCATGCATCTCTAATCTAGGCATATTTCCTAGCTGGAAGGAAACCAGCCTAGAACAGTTGTCCATGAAGAGATAGAAGAGATAGATGGGTTCTCTTTCTGCGATGGGTGATTCTGTTGTTTTTAATAGCTACTCTAGATATTCCTCAAGCTGGTTTTTCTCCAGATGTTTTGGACATCTCCAATCTACCCCGATTGTTGTCCATAATGGTTGGAGCCAATGGAAACTACAGTCAAAACCTGTTCTCATCATACCCAGTGCAGACACACCCTCCAACAGCAGCTGATAGGATGGAATATGGCCAGAGCCATCATGCAGAAATGTCCGGGTAGGCTCCTCTTTGGGTTCTGGATGGATGTTTTGAATTGATAGAAGTTGTTTGTATTATTTAATTTACTTCCCATGGCAACCTTACTACAAGCACTTCACTGAATAAATATAGCAGGCCATTCCCACCTCCCAGCAAGAAGAAAATATGCATCTACTATTTTTTCCCAAGTCTGTCTGTCTGTCTGTCTCTCTCTCTCTCATTTTTTTCTTTTGCATTTGCTCCTTTTCTCCAACATCTGGCAAAGCCTTCTACTTACTGGACTGTATTTCTTGGCTTTTCTAGGCAACAGCAAAACCTTTCATATTTGTAACTGTGCCAGAAGTGAAGTTCAGCATCATCATGCAGGTGTGTGACTTTAATGGATAACGTGGTGTATCATTACAGAAGTTACCTATCAGACAAACATAAAAAGGTAATTTGACCATTCTGCCTCTTCAGTTTCATTAATTTTCCTGGGCACATGCTTTTTATTTGTTCTTTCTCAAAGATCTGCTTTCCATGATACCTAGCAAGCCCTCTGTGAAAGCAAGGGAATCTTCAAAAGCCACAGGCAATATTATTTCTTTATTGTATTCATTTATCACTACAACCAAAGAACATCTAACATTTGCAAGAACTAAAACAATATAAACATCCAATCCTCAATGATAAAACAATTATAAAAACAGTAGAATAAACAGTTAACATGTTCAAATTGATTGCATAAAAAAGAAGAAAGAACATGTAAAAAAAAAAAAGAGGGATCATTCATTAATCACCATTATATTGGTCTCCAGAGGCCCTATGGAAGAGTTCTATATTTGCACCCTTATGGGATGATTCCAAGGTTGATGCCCACTAGACATATAAAGGGAAGTCCCATGGAGAACCACTGCCTCTGGGCCCCACTCTCCTCACTTCAGTATATGGGGATAGAGAACATCCCCAATGGAGAGGAGCCCATCGGATGGGCCAGTTCCACAGGGAGGAGGCAGTCCCAAAGAGCCAAGCCAGGTAGGACTTTTAAAAGTTCAAGCCAACATATTAAAATTAAAATGTACCCTGAAACTTACTGGAAGCCAATGCAGCACCTGCAGTATAGGTGTTACATGTGCAGAAGTTCTCACCTGCTAACATGCGGGCTGCTGCACTTCACACCCTTAGTAGTTTCTGAGCAGTCTTCAATGGCAGTGCCATATAAAGTACATTGGGATAACCCAGACTAATCGTGGTGGGGAGATGAGCCACTATTGCCAAGACATCTTGTACCTGCTCCATGCAAGCCTGCAACTGGTGCACAAACCACAGCTGTGTGAAGTCCAGTAGGACATGAAACAAATCCTAGCGGGACAAGACTTTGGACACACCTATAGTAGTTGTTTCTTTGAATGATGACCAGAACATCTGAACATATCTTCAGCGTGTTTCCTTTTTCATCCAAACAGAGAGGTAAACAGTGCACTGAATGAGAGCAGCCGCAATAATTATCTGGCAGACAACATGCTGTGCATATAAAAAGGTGGATTCAGTCTCCAAGGCTTCTTAGATATGGCTAAGAGGGGAGGAAGTCTGCTGCCCTTCAGGGCAGACTAGATGAGGCAATCCATGATTCACAAGCTATGTGAACTCTTCTTTGTGGTCCCAGATTCCTATATGTCTTCACCAAAAAGTGAAGTGAAGTGCAGTACACTACTATTGATTAAACTAGAATGGGCTTAACACACTAGGCTACCTCTCCCCCCAAAAACCTCCCTAATTCTTTTTAAAAGTAGCCCTCACCCATTGCAGTAATACAAAACAATAGGTGCAACCCTAAGCCACTGAAAATCCTTTGCCTCTGATGCAGACAGTACTGAGATGAGGACACACATGGTCTGACTCAGTATAAAGATAGCTTCCCTAAGAGCGCCAACAATCCAAGCTGTTTTCATGTTTAGAACCTTAGGACATTGTCACCTCGCACCATTAGATGTATCAGCCTTGGGTAGTCTCTCCATCAAAAACATGGGTTAAAATCAACACCATGGAGGTGGGGGTGGGGGTAGGGGATAACACCCATCCTTATAGAAGTCTGGTGTTAAATCTCTCACCAAGCATCTCTCTTGTGGGTCCAGATCCTTCATAAAGTATAAGTCCGCCATGACATTTGGGAAGGAAATTCTCAACCACAAAGTCCAAGAAATCCAGTCAAATTATGGCATTTAATGGGGCAACAATCCTCCAGCGGCAACTACAGCAATTAAACAATAACAAGGCAGTTTCAGATGTATAGTCAACTTAATATACTCTGGTTTATCAAACCAAACCTAAGCTTTAGGCCATTTTCCTCTCTTTTCCTTCCCTCAACTTATGACCATAATAGGGACTGGAAAATTTATCATTAAGTGGGGCAGTCATTAGGCATCACGTGACCACACCTGATTTTACAACGTTTTTTGCACAGCAGTTATTAAGCAAATTACATGGTCATTAAGTGAATCACACAGTTCCCCATTGATTTTGTTCATTGGAAGCCAGCTGGGAAGGTCACAAATGGTGATCACATCACCCTGGGACACTGCAACCATCATAAATACAAGCCGGTTGTCAAGCACCTGAATTTTGATCATGTGACTGCAGGGACACTGCAACAGTTGTAAGTGCAAGGACCGGTCATAAGTCACTTTTTCAGCGCCGTCATAACTTCGAATGTTGCTAAATGAACGGTCATAAGGACTATCTGTAACACAGTTGCCCATTCAACACTGCTTTGCATTAACAATTGAGTCAAAGGGGGTGCTGCAAAGTAGCACTCCTTCACATCATCCTAATAAACCAGCCTTCCACCTCCCACCCCCAAACTGGCTGGTTTCCACACCCAGAATTTTCAGCATTGGCTTGCTAACTGGGTGATTCTGGCATTGAAGTGCAACATCTGGAAATCCCATATGGAGAAAGTTGATATAAACCATAGTTTTTCATTATAATCTAAACCAGGAACTGCAGTTTAACCTTGGCATGTGAATTGACCATCATATCATGAAAAGAGGTAAATCATTCCATGTTGGTTTACTAAGCCAAGTCTGACATGATCCAGGGAGTCTAAATAGTTCAGAGAGACAACAAGAAAAGGAATCCACCCCCAATATTGCAACAATAAAGATTAAATTATACAGTCATGAAATGTGAAGCAAAGGGAAAAGAAAGAAAGAATTTCTTAACTCACTAAAGAGCTGCTCAAGGCTAAGCCTAATCAGTAATAGTGTGTTCACCTTGAGTACATTTATTTGAGTGAAAAATAGATTGTGAAGATGAGCAGAAAACAGCCAGGCTGAGGGGAACTAGAGTCCAATCATTTGGGGAATATCTACTTGGAAAAGCCTGCTGTATTCAAACTGGACCCCCAGCAGAATCTTATTTCTACAGGTCAGAAAGAAAGACATAACCCCACCTGGTGGCACTGGAATAGCCATTAGGGAAACCCGGAGTTTGAATTATTCCTTCCCGGGCTGTAAGATTCACATCTCTGCAGGAGGACAACTGCTGGCTCGAGTCACTGGATTCTTTCATGCCACTTCCTCTCTTTGACCCTGTAAGAGGAAGGGAGGGAGGAAGGGAGGGAGGAAGGGAAGGAAGGCAGGGGCAAATGCTGATGGGTGGCCCCTTGTCAATGGCCCTACAGCACCTACCATATTTTTCCCCACTTTGTGTTGTAAATGACTCCAAGAGAGATTTTAAATAAAATGATGTCATAATTTAAATGACACCAAAACCATATTTATAGGGTAATTATTTTAAACACACATGCAAAAGATATACACAGGCAAAGATAATAGTTGTTTCAAGGTATTTATATACTGCATATAAATGAACTGTCTTCATATTGAACATGTAAAGAAACTGTATCAGCCTATAAGCCAATGGGCAGGCAGCCTTTAGTTGCATTGGAGAGGTGAGGCTGCAATCTTCAGTCCCTTGTGGAAATGCAGAAAACATATCAGAAGTTTAACATACCAGGGGTAGACATTTTGTTTAAACAGAAAAACACCACCACTGAAAATTGTAATTTTGCCACTGGATTTTCAAAGGCTGAAAGAACAGGACTATGCAGCACACAGAGCCTTTAAGTTGTCCATCTTTGCTAAAGGCAAACCCAAATATGGGCTTACAAATTCCAGAAGGTGATTTGCATTCCCAGTCTTGGATCCTAATCAAATCTAGGAATGATAAGCCAAATAGTGATCATATTTATATAGCCACCCAGAGTCAGTCTTTTGTGAGATGGGCAGTTATATAAATATGACCAATAAGTAAATAAATACAGGAATACCATCTCAATGGCTAAGGCAGTTCTGCCATGGATTCATCAAATAACCTTGAAAAATTCTCCACCAGTTGATGACATTAGTCTTATTTACTGCATTTATATTGTCTGAAGAGCTAAGGTTGGTGTGCATTGTTCTCAACCTACAATTTATGCTCACAACATTTTGAGAAAAAGGGTCTCTGTCAGGGCTGTGTCAGGAAGATCCTAGCCTAGCTTGTGGGGCTACTTATCTAG